TGTTGTGCGCTATCTGTCAAGCCCACTGAAGGCTCGTCAGTAGATCACGTGCGCTGAAGTGAACTAACCCTGGAACAGGTTATCTTCAGAGAGCAAGTTACTATGGTTTCTTACATACCCTGAAAGTAACCTCCGATTTTGGAACCGAAAGCTGAGGTTATCGGCTCACTTATCCTCAAACATACCTGGTTATGTCACATAACCTGCTTTTTGGAATACCCCCCAGGTGACCAGATTGCACGACCACAGTTCCGGTTGCCTTTTTCATGTTATGAAAGCAGATTTAAAGAGAAGGCCAAGAACTGGCAACCCGTCCCTTTAACGATGGTTAAAAATAGTACTTGACTGAAAATTTACCCCACAGTCTAACCTTTTCTGTCAAAGTAATGGGTAATGGTTATTTGTAGCAAAATCTCTGACAGTGACGTCTGAAAAAAATGACAGAATTTTCCATTAAAGCGCTTTATTTAATTTATATTATATAAGAATTTTAACTGATGCATCTCTCACATATCAGAGCTGTAGGCTGTTTTCAGTCCGAATAAAATGTGTTTAAAAACTAATTTCCAAGAATACAGAGGTGTCAAATAATTACAGTGTACAGCAGCGTAATATTTAAGGCATGCTGTGTTCTTTACTAAATTGGTGGTTTTTGAACATCCACAAATCAGCCCAATAGGAGACAGCTGTAAACTCAAATGTAACATCTCGCTTCCAATTTAAAGGGTAGAATCTGCTATACAGTCCATTTGAGCAATGTTTTTAATGGCAATTCTGGTGTTCTGCCAATGCTTTAGACCTTAAAACTTCCATCCACTTCAGAGAGTTTATGGTAAAGCAGCTTGGACTGACAGTTCTCAACCAGTGTCTTTCATGGTTTTGACAAGAAACATCCAAAATCCAAATCTTAAAGCTAGGTACATTTCTTAGTAAAACTGCAGGTAGTATTGCTTATGAATGTTGAACTACAAAAAGTTTTGACTTTCTAATGCAGTTTGATAATGTTTTATGTCATAAACATTATCAAATGAATAATGTTCTATTCAGACTAGAATAACAGGATTTATTGATTACACCATTAATATCATAGTGCTATTATAAAGACAAACTCTTTAAAATCCTCCAGAAATGCCCATTCAGACTGTATTTAGCCGATGAGTGTACCGTCCTTATCCACTGTGTATATAAACCCACATTCAATGACACACACACTATTCAGAGACAACTTTAAAAAAAAAAAACTCCCCAACACTTGGAGGCTTTATGAATTATTGTTACTTCTCACTTATCTGTCTCAGTATGTACATTTATTACCAAGTTTTATGCCACCCACTCACCCATATGAGTTATTAACCTGCTTGTACATACAGTCAGTTTGTAGGTACAGTTATATATACATTACTTCACAGAAAGAAGTGCTTGTTTTCCCTCAGGTACAAAGATAAAGATATGCTTTCCCTCAGGTAAGAAATACACATCTGTTGGGTTTGACACCAGCTGCATAGTGAACTATCACCTGAACTGAGAATAACACACAGGCGTCAAAATGCTCTCGATTTCCATAACCATTTTAGAGCTGAAGGGTAGATAAAGATATTCAGCTGAGCCCTACAACTCACCTTCAGATAGGGCATTATGATGTTGTTAAGGAAACCATTTTTTCTTCTTTTTTGTATATGTTTTAGTTGTCTTGGACTTTTACATGCTGATTTGATTATGTGAACGCATTCAGTGATGGGGGTTATCAAGATAAAGTAGTGCTAGGTATCAATTAGCATTTTCAGATTCAGTTTAATTATGATTTGCATCTTTCAATTCATTCAATGCTGATTCATTAGGGTACATTTCAGTTTTTCAATTATTATGTCCATTTTGCTCGCATACCAAAATGATACAGACTAGTTCAAACCATAACTTGTTGTTTGAAACAATTCATTAAAAAAATCAGCTCATAAGAGTCATTTGTTCATGAATTGGGTTACACTGGCCATGTTTGGTACTTTCTGGCATGGAAAGGACAAACCAATATTTTTTCTTTTTCTGTGGTGCACAGATTTAATACAGGTTTGGAACTCAAATTCACAATAAATTCAGGTATAATGTGATTTATTTTGCTGGCGCTGAAAAGCGGTTCACACAGCCACTAAAAATAGCTATAGTGTGATGGATTGATCTGGGATTTTAAGGACCTGTATCATGATCCAAATGAATTAATCAGAAAATCTGCATTTTTATCCAGCTCTAAAAGTGGGTAGTATGTGGCTGATCATGGTCATTAACTGCTTATGCTGCTGATACGACTAGATTCTCATGCATGTATGTTTTTAAACATATCTTTTGAAAAGTTACTATTCATTTCGGGGTTAAAACTGCTTTGAAAAGGAAACATTTTTTTGAGCACTTATAAGAGTGAGGAATCATCTTGTAGTGGAGAGTTCACTGGAACATTGTATCACAGAATAATAACAAAGCTAGAATGCAACACCTTCAATCTTAAGCTTTGACTGCCTGAATGACCACAAAATTCACATTATAATCAAAATACTCCAGCGAAAAATAAGCAATTTCAATGCTGTTATTGTCAATGACAAGATAAGTAATTTTATAAATATATTTATACTTCTCAGTGGGTCACCACTCAGTTGAACAGAGGTTAAAAAAAGATTAAAAAAAAAAAAATAGAAAGATATTTTATTTAGCTTGTATTCAGTCTGTCTTGTATTTCGTTAAACCTTGGCAGAGCTAAACACTCAAAGCTCTCTTTCGATTGGCCATAAGCAGCCAGTATCTTATTTTTTACCCTGAATGTGTGCCATGCAAGTGTGACGCAATGTGCAGGTGTGACCTGCATAACATATGGGCAAGGTCTTGGTTTGTGATTTTTTTTTTCTTACTGAAGTATATGAGAGTATTGCTTAACTCTGACAACGTCTGGTATTAGAGATAGACAGGGCTAGGCACAACCTTACCCTTTTAAATCTATCTGTGCTGTATGCAGGCAAACTGGATGTTTCAAAGCTTTTAAAGGGCTGTTATATTTTCTACTTTAGTGTACTACATTGGTCTATATTCACTTTCTCTATACAAAACCAAACTTGTGATTTGAGATGCACACTTTTTTGCTGTAATAGTACAGATGTACAGAATAATGGCACGCTCAGTATTTATGTTACACACGCCAATGTTGCAGTCATCTTGGACTTGGCGATTGATTTGATTTATGCCACGAGTGAACGTTTTAAATAATTGGATCAAGATAAAGT